TAGGGGGTGTCAAGTGCCCCAAATGCCGAGAACCCTGGTCCTTCCAGATCCGGCAACCACAACCTTTAGTAGTGATTTGGGGTCTGGGTTTAGGGTTTAGGGTTTAGGGCTTTAGGGGTTTAGGGGTTTACGGCTTAGGGGTTTAGGGTTTAGGGGTTTAGGGTTTAGCTTAGGGTATAGGGTATATGGCTTAGGGTTTAAGGCTTAGGGTTTAGCTTACCTTTGGGATGTAGGGCTTCAAACTTCGAGTTAGCTAGGGATTGTCGGTTGTAGATTTTGGGATGTCGGTATTAGTTGTTTGGTTTGGGTAGTTGCGATTTAGGGTTTGGGGCTGGTAGGGTTTAGAATTTAGGTCTGGTGGCTCCTTAGGAATTAGGGTTGTGTTTGTGCAACAACATCACCCAAGGCTGTTTTGCATTTATGGCATTGCTGTGATGGGCCTACGGGAACTGTAATTGTAGGGAGGTTTGGGGCGTTGAGTTCATAGGCTAAATTTCTTGAATCCTGACTCTTAGTGTTGTAAGCTCTGGTCCATTCTACGGCCCTTACTCTAAGAAGCGACTACTGGGGACATGGGTAGTATAAGCTCTGCAGATAGCGATGCAGTCAACACCGATTTCAATAGCCCAAACCCTAAACACAGAGTAATCCTCAAGGCCTACCTATACTCTTTTGCTGAGGAGGGATTTAGGGTGGAGGATTTAGCGTTTGGGATGTTGGTTTTGGGACGGTTTGGGGGTAAGGGTTTAGCGTTTATGGTTTTTCAGAGGCTTTAGGGAAACCAGGTTGCCCAGAAAAAGGAGCTGACTCTGAATATACAGAAGAAGATCATTTGCTTGATCCCTGGAGCCTCACCCCCCTGCAATCCAAAACAGAGGTTTCAATTTCTTGGACGGCCGTATAAAGCATTTACAAAAGCCTGTAAAGCTGTTACAACACCCGATAAAGCAGCCTTTTCACAACCATACGACCCCGAAAGCATGGACCAAGTGAGACTGCTCAGTATAAGGTCCTGTGACGCCGCAGCGATCGGCAAATGGCTCCGAGCTCGCAGCCCAGACCGAGAACTTGAAGGGTCCTGTAATATACGGGCCTGGGGGTTCCTTATTATAGCTATAGTATAATACCCTCCCAAACCCTATTCTGATTATTAAGGCCCCTCAACCCTAAACCCTTGCAGTAGCCCTTGTAGAACCCTTTAAGGAACCCTTTCAAAGGAACCCCCAAAACCCTATTCTAACTTTTAAGGCCCCCTGTATTATTAACGTAGCTATCGGCTTTCCGGCTGCTTTTGTTGACTGGTGTCGCTGGAGTCTTGAAGGCCTTTACATGGGTAGTTGTCAAAATATAGGGTCCCTTTTGGGGTACCCGAAATTATAGGTGCCGTATTATATTACGGATCCAAAAAGGGACCATAATTTTGACAACCACCTACATGGTTCTTCCTGGTGATTCATAGCTACTGCGCCGTCTGGTAAAAGTCGGACGTAGACACCTGGATGTGGTCATCGTGTGGTTTAGCTTAATAATCCCGGAGTATAATTCGTGATATGCCAAAGCAGAGAAATACCTGTTCTCTTAGTTTTAGTGGTTCCTTCGATAAAATGAAGGGATATGGAGGCTCCCGAATCCAAAATCGCAGCGCTTTGTTAGAGGCCCTAAGGTCTTGCAGCTAGGGATAGGGGAGACTAGAGAGGTGTCGCGGATGGGGCTATCCTGGACCTCCATCCAGCAGTGCACCAGGAGGGGCGACAGCGAACAGTTCGGATTAGGGTTGTAGGGTTCAGGGCCCCTAAACCCTAAACCCTAAGCCGCCTAAACCCTAA